TAAAATGGTTTTGAATTCAGCAATGAAAATTACTGAGGAATTGTCTAACAGACAAACTGTCGTTAATACATCATCTTTCAATACAGCCGATCTCAACATGTACATTAATTCATCTGAGATAATTGACAAGAGTGAACGTTTGCGTAAGGCGCAACGTCAATCAATACCACTAACTCTTCAGGCTACCAAGACACGTGAACAAATCCATGAGTGCTCTACACTCGACGATGATCAATTTTTATCTGCCTTAGAGCATCAAAATTCTTATATTGGTCCAAATGCAGCCACATTTAGCATTTCGGAAAGTTTTAATAATTTAATGGAATATTTTGATGAAGACGTATCACTGGAGCGTAATCCACCCACACCTACCAAGAAAGCTATAGTTGGTAAAGTAGCTTCTGTTGTTGCGAATTTCAAGAGTAGAACGGCACAAGTTGCACACACCCAAATATCCACAATTCTTAATAAACGGCAATCGGAAATGCGTTCAAGCATCAAGGAGTTGAAGAAAAGGTATGAAAGTGATAATGTAGAAAACATCAAATCAAGAAATGTCACACAACAAAAGTTTCCAAAATCCCCAGAAATGTCACGTAAATCGAAAGTAAAGCAAATGGCACAAATGTTTAATACAAAAATGGCACAAATCCTCAAGTGTAGTGGAAAAGAAACCGCCTACATGACTGAACAGAAGAAACAAGAAACAAAGAAATCTACGCCCTACACACAATTTCCAATACCCAAACCACGTACTAAATTTCCAATCAAATGCATGAATAAAATTTCAAGCCCAAAACCGCGCCGCAGAAGATCTACAAATACAACTTGTTTGGTAGCGGAAGATGTGTTTAATCAGCTTTCTGTAAAAGACAAAGCACTGCTTTTTAATAAATTTATAGAAGATATATCGGTAAAAAATCTACAATTTAACAAGTATGAACAACGCACAGTTGGAAGTGCAAGGAGAAAAGAAGACTTTGAGTACAATGAAGTGGAAAATGAAAAAACAGGTTCTGTGAAACGTTTAACAGAGGAATTGGAGGCAAAATGTGTTTTTCCTAAACATACTATAAATCCACTAGTTTTCCATCGTTCTGTAGACAGTTATTGTAATTCAAATATACAGAATACTGCGTTACCGTTAAACCGAACATCCGCACCTCCCAATGACAAAAAGTTAAAAACGAATGAAGTAGAAGACGTTTTAATGAACACAAACGTAAAAACTCTGGTTCCTGAGAGTGAAAGCGTCATTGAAGAAGATCAGGATTTGTTACATATTAGCACCCTGACTGTTGTATTAAAACCAAATTCTGAAGTTAAAAAACAATCACCACTATCAATACCACGTGTTAAGCCACGTATCAAACGAGATATGCGTTTTATTACTACTTTGGATGTTATTGAAGCAACTCAAAAGCGTTCTAGTAATTCCTCATATTCCGATTATCAAGCATACGCTCCTCCTAAAAAAATTCGCCATACACGCTTAGAGCGCGTATTTTTCAATTGGCTAAAGGAGAAAAATGGTGTCTCATTTGATATCACACCACTCGATGATACAACTGAAACAATCAAAATTACATCTGATCAAGAAAATTCCATCAGCTCTTTGGATGGCAATGAAAAAAAGTCTGCTGTTAATAAATTACTTGAGGAAGCTTTGGCTAAATTGGAAGCAACTGAAATCAAGGAATCAACTGAAATCTCAGAACCACATATACCTCAAAGAACTCCAAGAAAAAAGAAGCGCCCCGCACCGCCCATACCTGTCGAAAATAAAGTGCGCAGCTCAAGTGAATGCTCTTCAGTATCAACATTTAAGCAATCTGAAGCAGAAGAAAGCGAATCTGGATTGTCTAGTATGCCTAAGGTAAGTTATTTATATTTGTAATTATAAAAAATATTGTATGTAAGTTACTAACGTTAAATTTATTTAATTCTTAAGGTCACTAGTGATGAATCGCAACCAGAACATACTGAAGAAAATATTTTAAATGCGTGTGAAGACTTCGAATTTGCTAAGCCACTTAAACCACTACGAAGAAAAAAAATGAGCCGCACTTTGACATGGAAGAAAGAGAATTCAATTGTTGAAAGTAAGCCTGTGGTAACTACTGACTCAGATTCTGATTACAAATGGGCAGAAGGATGCAAGAAGACATCAACGCCACTACAACTGAAACATAAAAAGAATAATCCGAACAATGGAAAATTAATTTTGAAAAGTGACATTAACCCACAAATGGAAAACAGTATAGTTGAGTTGGATAGGAAGATAAAGTTAATGAATTCACCACGTAAAATAAAATCAGCTTACACTTTGGCCATAATGCCTTCACCTTCATCATGTACTGCAAGCGATTACTGCGAGTCTGACATGACTCATTCATATGCCGTTCGTGAAACTTCACGTTCTTGCCCATCTATTATTTTTGCTGTGGACTCACAGGAAACACAATTACGTGAAAATATGTCACCGACCGAAATTATTGCTAATAGCGAACTGAAACAGGACAGTAAAAATGAAAGCCTCATTGATCAAGGTTTTGAAACAGGTTCAAATGAAACGGAGGTGTCATCAGTAAAGAAAATTAAAAAAATGATACGTTTATCTTCAGGCAGCTCAAAAAATACAAAGTCAAGTATAGACATGAAACCCAAACCTAGTAATTTGCATATAAAAGAAGTTATACAACCACAACAGCACCCCTGTAGTCCAGCACCAATATCAGCAAAAGCACGTCGTCGCTCCTTTTACGAAAATGACTCACGCCGTAGCTCGATAGTAATGCAAGTTATACAGGAACATCATCCATTAGATCATGCTTATAAAGATGAGATGCCATGTACACCAGATAGCTTTAGTGGACGCTCTACTGCTAGCTTCTTTCCCAACACACAATCAAATGATCTTCGTAATAAATCTACTTTTTGGATAACGGCAGGAGACTTAAAAGTTTCCTATGATATATGTTATAGGCCAGCCGCTGACTTACGTCGTGAATTTCATAACTTCACACAAAAAAGATATGATCCTCTAGATTTTGGGATCGATGAATACAAATTTTCATTATTGGATCCAGCCAATAGTAACGGACGCTTGCCAAAAATTAATAAAACCAAAGGACACAGTCAGTATTGGTTCTCAAATGGTGATCTTGTTATGATGTTTAAGGGCAAACTCAGACCAGCTGCTGAAGTATTGCAGTTATTTACATTTTTAAGGCAGTATTATGTCAACAAATCGGTAATACGATTTGGCGTAGATGATATGGAATTCTCTATATCACAAGATTATCGACAAAGTGGACTTAGGCTCTCCGTAGATTACGAAATGTTAGTAGGTCTACAAGCAGGCAACAGTAATGGATTAGAAGGACGCAGTAAAAACGCTTGGCCGAATTCTAGAAGTTGTTCTCTAAATTCAAAAATTACGAAAACAAGTGATCTTGATAATTCAGAATTGGAATCGGAAGAATTTGAAAATAGTGACGTCAGCAATATGTCACCATTGCCTTATGGTAGCAGTTACTACATAAGTCAACGTAGTAGTGATATAAGCATTTTCAGTCCAGATATGTTTAGCATAGAAAATGAGCCACTGGATCAAATATTCGATCACTCTAGTAAGCAAAGTTTTCATAAAAATGAACTAAATAAATATCTACAGATCTACAGTTAGTTATTTTCGGAAGCACTATATAAGTTTGGTTACAATATTTCAACTTACAATATATCATATTTCACTACTTATGAAATTATTTATTAATTTATTATATATTTATACTTTTAAATCTGATTTTAATTATAATAAAGCTTAAAATAAATTATAGTTTGAAAAATAAATATTGTGTATTGGACTTTAATCTGCTACGTATATATATTTCTTTTCATTTTTAAACTTGAATAATTTATGACAAATACGTTTTCTTCTTTCATTATACATGAATCCATGTTTAGAATAGTTATTTCTCTTTATAAGCGATTCATCTTGTTCTTGACATGTCAAGTTTGTTTTAAGCCTATTATATGTATGTATGTAGCACTTTTTTTTGGTATGTCTGTAATCAATCACTTTTTTTCTGTGGTCTATGATTCCATAAACATATGCAGGATCTAATTTATTCAAGCAATCCAATTATCTGATCTAATTTATCACTATAGTAAATTCTCTAGCATCTGCCAATTTCTATTGGTTTAAATACTTTTTAAGATCTTTTTTTGTTGCTAGTCTTATAAATAGCAACATATAGGTTGAGTTTGAGTCTCCTGTATTTAGCCCTTATTAGAGTTTCCATTAGTGATTTTAAAGCGTTTTTCTAAGTCCATCTTCAACAAAGTGTCTATGCTTTGCCAGTCTTTCCCAAAAATTTATTTTATCAATTTAGCTAACTACCAATATCGATGGGTTATTTATAGAATCAAGCTAACATACCTTATTTATGGTAACTCCAAACAATTTTTCCTTGGTTTTTTTATATAGAATTTATTAATTATTTATATTATTACTTTATTTCTTCCTTATATCTTATATCTTATATCTTTGCTCTTATGTCTGACTATAAATCGTACTACTAGATCGTTTGTAAGATCACAATTCAGTATGGAGTTCGTAAATATTGTTAAGATAGGATATATGCATGTTTTTGAATATTAAATTCAGTCTGTATATATATAATTATAAGGTCTTGAAATTTTATTACTCATAAAGACAATAGTCGTGACAGTATTTTGTCAATAGAAAGATTCGAATTCAATTTTATTTGATTTTGAATTTAATTTTGATAAATTATATATTATTTAACTAAAATAAATTAAAAACAATAATATTATTATTTACAAAATATAATTGGTTTTGTTCATTACATGTTAAACATAAATATTTTTATGATAAATAAAAAATGTTTCTTAACGAATATGAATATGTACTTATATAAGTTAAGTTAAATAAATTATTAAATTATTTTATTAACTTCGTATTTTATTTATTGCAGCCACCAGAAAACGAGCTTCAGAAGGCACGTGAAAATAATCCAGCAGCCTTAAGTGAACATCAACTACGCATACAGGCCTCACTGCAACGTTTAAATATACCCGACTGGTTCCGACAATATAACCAAACGACCAATCAATCTCCAGAAGTTGCTGGTAATTATAAGCCTGGAAATTTTACAAGAAAGAAGAATAATGATTCCGGACGATGGACAGGACTTAATTCAAAAACTACATCACTCAGTTCATTGGGTTCTCAACGATCAGACCGCAGTCCGTTATTACTAAGTCCATCGGCACACAGTCACCATGGCGGGCATACAAGTGGTATCCATAATCAATCTGCTAGTGCCACAAGCGCATATGGCACAAGTGCGGGCTCATTTTCACGTTGGTCAACATCTCATTTGAACTCATCACAAACATCACCTAATGTATCTTCCCGTGGTTCCTTTACACGTGGCGGACTAGTTAATTCCAGTTTTATGTCAGTTACAAGTGGAAATAGTGGAGTCAGGAACTCACTTCGTCAGCCATATTTAGGTTGGCGTAGTCAAGAAAAGTTGTCACAGCGTACGCCACATGAACGGTATTAAGCAAAATATGGATTAGTTTTTCAAAAATAAAACTCAAAATTTTTTATTTTTTCATTTAGATTGGCATCATCATTATTGGCACAACAACGTACGTCCCCAGCACAGCGTACTACAGCTGGAACACCCAGTAATGGTGTGGCTGTTAAACTACAACCTGTTACACCCGAAATTCAGTCATCAATCAAAGAGGTCACTTCGGCTATTGTGCATTATGTGAACGATAAGAAAAATCAACAGCGTAGCAGATCCACAAGCCCTAACTCAAGGTAGGCGCATGTTGGTCCGAGTATAACTCACACTATAAATCGTATATACTTTCATATATATACATAAATACATGCGATTATACATATCACACAACTATGCAAGCCAAATTCAGTATCAACACCAAACTCAGTACACATAAGTCATACCATGTTATATGTTGTAACCATTGTAACCGCCTGTAATGATCAATCCATGGATATGGTGCTTTTAACTCAAACTATCCAGCCTGTAAAAAGTGCCAAATTGTCTCTTATTAGCATTACTAAAGTCGCTAAACTAAGAAAACAAATATTACAACATTCACCAAACACAACATTTTTCATTTTTTATTCGCATTTAGCTACTTGTAAGTCTGTTCTTATAAACGAGTAAATTTTAATTCGATACTTTTAATTGATGAAGATGAAATACGATAAAATTATTTTAAACTGAATTTACATACCCACAATGCAAATGAGATGACTTCCAATACAAGTTAATTTTAGTTTAAGAGGTAAGCCAGTTTATACTTGTTCAGTTCTTTTTGCAAGCAACTAACAGACTAACTCCTCTTTCGTTCCTACATTAACAGGGCTCACCTATACTGACTACTAAAAATGAATCTAACTATTCTAACTTTGCATCTAGTTAATAGAACTACCTTAATATGTTATTCACGATCGCTTTGTTTTTTTTTAATTAATTATTAATATTAAATCCGAATATCTAATAACTCTTATGTGTATTTCATATATTAAATCACAATTAATTGATTTAAAATTAAAGAAAACCCAATTTTCTATATGCGTTCATAGTTTCGCACGATATGTACCATATGTACGTGTCTGTTCCAATTATATCAAATATTGAACACGAAGGGAGCTTACTATGGTTGTTTAAATGTACTCAGCCAAAAAAATGCCAGAGTACTGAAATTATATATTATTGCGTATACTTTTTGGAAGATACTTAAAAAATGCTTTCATTTTATAGAGACTAATGTAAACACAATATTTTGAAAATAATTGTTTGTAGGATACCCACAAGAACTCGGTATGGTAGTTTACATCGCAACTGCGATTTCAAAATTTTATGACATATGAACTAATTGAAGTAGAGCTCCAAAATGGGATCTGGCGATTTTACCAGATACCGAATTACCAGCCTTAGGAAGCAGCAGAGTCACATTATGAGAAAACCCTTTTTTGAGATCACCGAGTAAATTAGTTAAGGCTACGAAGGTAATTTATAAATCAAGAATATAGGTATCACAGAAATTCATACCTATATGTAGAAGTCATATGAAAACCCGTTCAGTAGAAACGGTTTATTTTGAAACAAGATATACTAGTGGATGATTCTAGGTTAATACAATGAAACCGTAAGTGGTAAACGTAATCGAATTCTGTCACAAATCTGCTTAACTAAAATTAAATAAATGAAATGCATATATGGGAATAGTAAATTAAATATATCTATATTAAAAATAATAATCAATAATGAAAAATATATTAAAAAGCTTAATATTTTATAATAAATACATACATAATGAAAATAAATAAAAATATATACATTATGAATAATTAATAAAAAGTATAAAAACATATGAAATAAATCTAAAAAAAATTAAGGAGTATAAAAATAATTAATTATTGATAATATGCATGAAAAAAGTATATATAATTAAAATTTAAATTAAAATTTAATTAAAACTTTTTATCATTTTTTATTAATATTTTTAACTAATTCAGTTTTGTAAGTAAAAATATTTTAGTTTAGTTTTTGTTTAAACAAATTTATAATAAACATTTTATTATAAGAAAGAAATAAATTCATAAATAAATAAAATTGATGTATGTACTGCAACTATTAAATAAATAATATTTATCATCATTAAGAGATAGAAGATATAACCAAAAACTTTATAACAGAATGGTATATTGAATAGCAATAAATATATAATAAAAAAGTAACAAGTTAATCAAAGTAACATGTTAAGAAACTAAACAATTAACTCAAAAAATTGGAAAAGTCGTAAATGATAGGTCATTGCTCACATTTCTGAAATGGGTGAATCCAGTGGTTTGAGGGTACTCGAAGTTTCTCATTGGTTATTGATTGGTTGTCTGATCAAACACAATGATCAACAGACATTAGTAAGCAGTATGTTTATCCTTCTCTTCAGCGATTATCTTCAAACGTACTTCTGAACTCATAACGACCAAAAAACATTGCCTTACTATGCTTTATTATTTTGGATAACAAAATTTGATACATAGGCCTAAAATTCTAATTTGTTCAAATTTACTTTTCCAGTAACTTTAATGTCTAAAATACTCTTTGCTTGATTTGATTTCAATCGTTCGCACTTAATCCCAACTTTTAATTTGCGGGAGTACAAAGCGAAAAAAATGTACTCAGGAATAAATTAAACACTGTCACCTTTATGTGCTTGAAGGCTTAAGTATATCACATAATTTTTCACAATTCATCCAGACGCAATCAAAAGTACTATCTATCTAGTGACTAAACAATTTTCAGATAGACTTACACGGTGTAATGCAATCAAGTACATTATTTGAGGCCGCTAACGCAAATAGTCAAATAGTCATCCAAATATCCTTGTTTTTATCTTTGTGACATTCCTGTTTGAAGAAGGAATCTGTAGATAAAGCCTCCATTCGATATCAATCCAACTTTTGTTGCCACACTGTGAGTCAACACTCTGAGATTTAAATAAATTTATCTAACGATATCTGCTGTTTTATCTATGTGATCCTTATTTGTTAAAGAGACAGCTTATAAAAACAGTAGTGTTTTCTGATATAAAATATATTCCGTATCCTGATCTATGTAGCATAATAAAATATAACTCTCTTACGGATATGGAACGAAATTCTTATACGGAACTTAAAGATTACATAAGTTTCAGTTCCTTACTGATACGATACCGAATCATATCAGAAACGCATTAAATATCCCTACTATCATGAGTGTAGCCAGAAAATAGTGCAGAGGGTCACAAGTTATATATTTTGTAATATAAACTCTGAGCTCGCTCGTTTGACTACTTGCTCAAGAAACTTTAAGGATGCTTTTGAATACTGTGTATAAAAATAAATCATTAAAATTTAAATTAAATTTAATTAAAGCTAAGTAATAGATATATTTGTTTTTAATAAAATGGGTTTTCAGTACGACGGGCACACAATCAGAAAAAGTTTTGTCAATTATCCGCTACATATTTAAGTGGAAATCATATACTTGTCTTATATATTAAAGATGTACATCAGATATGTACCATATTATCTTATCAGTACTTATAATCAGGATCGGGTTAAAAGCTTTAAATTTGAGCAAATTAGTGTGAGCATTAATTAGTGTGAGAATTCTATTCAGAACAGACTATGATTTTATTATCAGAATTCTACTAGTGAAGGCGTGCTTTTCATCTTTGAAATAGGCATCTAACCACTACATTCAATCTTTTGTACTAGATTTCTGAACCGATTGTTCTGGACAGCACCCTAAATAAATTACTATTCTAAAATGTATTTTGTGTAAAATGTTTTAATATTTGATCTACTAAAATAGAGGAATATATAAAATATTTTTAAAATTTTTTGTAGATATTATATTGTACTATAGCAGATAAAATTATATTAACAGCGTTATATGGTCAGCCAAATTTCAATGAATTGACTAAAATTTTTGTTGTTGTCTTTTCATTTCTATTTTAACCCTTCTAACTTTTAAATAGTTTTTTTTCGTCATCACTTTTGACAAAAAAATTAACATTATAAATTGATATATTTAAGTGAATATTTTAATTTTTAAGTTATATTCACATGTTCTCAAAACATAACATTAATTTTTATCTCTCTTAGTTTTAATATCTGTCTAGCCCATAATCAATGTATTCATGGCTAATAATTCTCACTACTTTTTGAAATAAACTTGTAATGATGTAGCATCACTATTATTATCAACACAGAAATCTTATTCGATATTTTTTTAAGTTTAAAAAATGTAGAAAAACAGTTTTTTTATTTATGATATGTTCTATAATATATTTTTCTTTTGATTTCTATTTTTCACCCGCCACTCACAATAACGACAGCAAAATAAACATCCCATAGGTGTAGCGAGAAAATAGGGTAGAGGGTCACAGAGAAGATGTTTTGTATTATAACCTCTGAGCTCTCTCTCTCTCTTTCCCCGCCCATGCAATTTCTTATTCTTAACACCTACTTTTATATATATTTGTGTTTTTTTTTTAGATTAGTTTCTCGGTCTAAGCAAATTGTGTCACCATTAATAATACTTGTCTACCTCGCCAACCCTGACCCGAAACGAAAATTGTACGAAAAATATCCGAAGTGATTCCAAAGTTGAGGAATCACATTTGCAAAAATCAAATGCATTTTCCGTAGTTGCAGTTTTGTGATGTTAAGTTCCCTGACATCACCACCAGCAATCATCAGGACACTCTGCTCCTTCCAAAGTAAAATATTTTGGTAAAAGCTATGAAAACTTTTTCATTATTTATTGACTGTAAATTGACTTTAATTGAGTGTAGCAAGGCGATTTGTAATTGATAGTTAAGTCAATATTTTTCTTAGTATTTCTTGGGTTTGTCTGTGTGTTAGAAAATTAAATATGGTTAGTCGTGGGTTTTTAAATTTATTTGTTTTTCAATGTTTTTAAATGAAGTTATAGATTTTGGCAAATGCACTATGGCTTTAATTTTCAATAATAACAGATATGCAAACAGGTACAGGCCAAATCCGGAAAATACGGCAGATATTAAAGCAATTCAAAGTCCAGTCCAATTTATACAAATTTCATCGACTTGTCACATGGAACATTGTTTTAGTGAAATAACACATTTTTGATTGTTCTACTTTTTTCAAGATTATCTATTGATTAAAATACGATACATTTTCCAAAATATGAAGGTGACAACGTCACCAAATGGCATATGCATATTTTAATTATATTTCTGGAAGTCCAGACGTAC